ACACACATACACATATATATATATCTTACATTTATATACACATACATACACAAATGTCTTATACACACATACACATATATATATATCTTACATTTATACACACATACATACACAAATGTCTTATACACACATACACATATATATATCTTACATTTATACACATACATACACAAATGTCTTATACACACATACACATATATATATATATATCTTACATTTATACACACATACACGTCTACTTTCGCCTGAACGAAAACATATTTGTTTGAAGACCAAAGTGGGAAAGAATCCTTCGAAAACGATACAAACTTGTCGATAACAAATGTATTGATTCAGTATACATCTGACAGAACGGCCTTCAGCCTGATAGACTATGACACAAGGAGCTGACTAATCGATAACCGAGTACACACAACCTTGGGTATTTGTTTATATCCTATACGTATGCACCGTACATGTAAAGGACGTACAGCACATTGTGCAACTGTATAAAAATATATTTCTTTAGAAATACAGAAGCTTCGTAAGTATACTACCTTTATTACAAGTTCAAATTTAAATAAAATACAATTTGGATGTGCGTGCGAAATAACAATCTGAATAACTGTTCTCCCTCCATTTACAATGTAGATCTGTACTTATGACGAAGCTTCACTGGGAATGATAGTCTAAATACTGACGTATGATGATTCAGGGCCATAGCATACCCGTTTAATATCTTTAAGTCCACAAAAACTGTCGTGATTGAACCAGGTGTGATATTGATTCACTAAATCGTCACGAAAAGGGATAGCTCTCTCCTGTAATACACATAACGCTGCTCTTGTCTGGGCAGATGTGTACGTGTGAGGCCCGAGACTTGTTCATCCGAACGTCGGTAATCCAGACATTCAAGAGTTCGAATACAACGAAAAACCTGATCAAGGAGAAGCTCGCGCTCACTCGCCAAGATACATTCTATCAAAAATATAACCTTCCTGAACAGTTACCGCTTCACATTTTTTAGATTATAGTTTTAGTGATCACCTGAAAAAAAAAAGGGGGATGAATCAGTAAAGTTAATGGCGTTTTCTTTCCAATTATGCTTTAGTTTTATAGTTTGTTTAATGGATTAGATCGTTAACATCATTGATGAATTATTTTAAGTACATTAAATTCCACCCACTTGGGTAATATACTCACGACGGATATTTGTAAGGTGACCACTCATCCAGTTTTGAGACTTTATACGATACGCCTCCAAAATAACAACACATCAGCAAAATAATGCACAAAAGATTAAAGAACTAACTAAACACAAAAAAAACTAGTTTCAACAGGCGAAACTCGACATTCTCAACGGATAGAGTAAAACTATCAAACTAGTCTGGTTTATTAATATTTCAATCATTTTTATATAGTTATGATAGTTCTTGTGAACTTACACAACGCACCTCTACTTTAAATATGAGACACCTAACTGTCCCCTTTTTCTAATATATGTCCCGTATTTTATTACTTCAGAAGAAATTCGCAACAACACCTGACAAACCAACACCAGCTGGTAGATAATGCTCTACAATTCCATTTCATTGCTGACTTTACAACGTCGCAGATATCCAAAACTGCCAGCTGTTTTTGTTCTAATTTGCCCGAATGCGCATGTGAAAAAGTAGAACGGCAATGGCAGGTTTTTAGAATTAACAGTGCGTCGTTTTTATTTATAAATGACAGGTTTCTACAGTGTGTTCAGTTTCTTTTTTAAATGACAGGTTTCTAGAATTAACAATGTGTCCAGTTTTCTTCTGTTTAGTGACGGGTTTCTAGAATTAACAATGTGTCCAGTTTTCTTCTGTTTAGTGACGGGTTTCTAGAATTAACAATGTGTCCAGTTTCTTTTGTTTAGTGACGGGTTTCTAGAATTAACAATGTGTCCAGTTTCTTTTCTCAATGACAGGTTTCTAGTATTAATAATGTGTTCAGTTTCTTTTTTAAATGACAGGTTTTTAGAATTGACAGTGCGTCGTTTTTGTTTATAATGACAGGTTTCTAGTATTAACAATTGTCCAGTTTCTTTTTTAAATGACAGGTTTCTAGAATTAACAATGTGTTCAGTTTCTTTTCTCAATGACAGGTTTCTAGAATTAACAATGTGTCCAGTTTCTTTTGTTTAATGACGGTTTTCTAAGATTCACAATGTGTCCAGTTTTCTTTTGTATAATGACTGGTTTCTAGGATTAACAATGTGTCCAGTTTTCTTTTGTTTAATGACTGGTTTCTAGGATTAACAATGTGTCCAGTTTTTATTTTGTTTAATGACGGGTTTCTAGGATTAACAATGTGTCCAGTTTTCTTTTGTTTAATGACGGGTTTCTAGTATTAACAATGTGTCCAGTTTCTTTTTTAAATGACATGTTTCTAGGATCAACAATGTGTCCAGTTTCTTTTCTCAATGACAGGTTTCATGAATTAACAATGTGTCCAGTTTCTTTCTTTTTAATGACAGTTTTCTAGAATTAACAATATGTTAAGCTAATTTATTCCCCCACCCCCACAAAAATAATTAAATGATCACTTTATATACTATCTTTATGGAGTCGCATGTCACACACGCGAAGCAGACGATTTAAACCTCATCATTAACGCCACATCAGGCTTGTTCAAACGATAGTTATTCAACTTGGCCTACATTAACGATATAAAGTTGAAAATTAAATTAACTGGAATTTGTTTAAATATTTCAATGAAATTATTTAATAGGCATGCGAGTCCCTCAGTCCGGATTTAGACTTGGTGAGGCCCTAAGCTATATAAAGCTTGGAGGCCCCTTGTTTAAAAGTTACACCAGAAGGTCTCACAAAGGTGCGTACCAAAACAGGACCTTCGGTCACCACAAAAAAATTAAAAACATATATATGCCGTTTAATTATTTAATAGCAAGGTATTTAAAGTGAAAAATAAAATTTTAAAAACAAAAAAAAATCTGAAATTTTGTG